TCGCTATTGAACTCGTTTTGCAACAATGTTGCAAAACCAGTTGCACGTTTACGTTGCCCGTTTTAAGGACAGTTGTCATGAATTTAAAACTATTTAGCAAAATACATAAAGCGTTAATTCCTTTACTCTTTCCACACGCATAAGTTGCGGGTGCTAGCAAGATTACGTGCGAACCATTTTGGCAGGGATCATAGTTTAACTGTTTCAAAGCCACCAGGCCGAGTTCGCTTTAAGCAATCGCTATATTACTACCTTTCTTAAGGTGATGTTACACAGGACGATTCGCAACGACGTTTTTTGGCAACACAGCGTTGCAGTGTTGGAACAATGTTGTAACTCTTTGAAACAATGTCGCAACAATGTTAACGCTGTTTTTTCATATTGCGCTAAAAATCGTCGTTGCGAATCGTCTCGTGTAATCACCTTTAGTTAACGAACAACATAGAAAGAACGTTGGGTAGAACTAATGAAATTCGGTCTCCAAGTTCTGAGTTCTCTAAATGGATTTAAGAAGAATATTTCAAAGATAGAGTTTTCTGTTTACACTCTACCAATTTCAAACAACTTTTTGGTTGTGAAGTTGAGCGTTTCAATGATTATCGCTATTTTTCTCGAAAGTTTATCGTCAGCTAGATGAGCTTCCACGGATGATCACAATTTTGTATCCTCCACAATTTCCCGTTCGAAAGTGAGCTGTACCTTTGTTGTGATTGGATGCGATATCAGCTCTTCTGGTATTTCCTTTGCTGTGCATTACTTCCTGCCTTCTAAAACAGAAGAAATCTAAAGATTGCCTAGATTCAGGAATTCTCAAAGCGTACACTATTGGATTGATAAACGAGCTGGTAAAATGTATAAACAAAGTTAGGAGGAAAATGTTTTCAGACATTTTGTATCCAAAAATACTTATCAAATTGTAAATAATCGTCGGGAACCAAGAACACGAAGTCGAAATAGATACTAATAATAACGCCTTTGTCAGGCGCTGATTTTGTAAGGCTGTGTTTTGGTGATGAGAAGTAGTTTTTTGCTGGCATTTTCGCCAGATACCGATGTTAAAACCACAAATTGTGAGAACTAGAAACAAAGCGTAGAAAGATACGAACGTATACACAGCTAGAGGGGTGAAGAATGGCAGAAGATAAACCGTATGAAAAAGAGTTGCTACAATCCACACCGTCAAAATAACCAGCTTGTATGCTCGCGCAGAAAGTGTTCGGTGCTTCAGCGGCCAATAGATGGCGTAAAATCTCTCAGCTGATATCAAAGTAGCGGTAATGAGTGAGGCTTGCGAGAAAACCGTAAAGACAATTTTTAAAAAACTGGTTGGAGTTGTAAGTTCTTGCGATAACCGGTAACGAGTACCAAGAACATAAACAGATGTAGGAAGACACACACCTCCAAGCACCAGATCAGCAAACGCCATATTCAGAACAAGATATAAACTTTTCTTAGTTCGAAGCTTTTTGTTAGATGCAAAGAGTACAATAGTGAGCAAGTTTCCAACGACAATAACAACAGCTTCCGACGCAAGAGCAAAACTCCAAGTGATGGCTTGTGCCTTCGAAACGATTTCCCTGGTAGCTGTAAGGGACGTATTGTGTGAGTTCGTCGTAACTGATATAATCGCCATTGCTTCGTTTTCTACGAACGTTACTTAAAAGAGAAACAATACCAAATGTTGTAGTTTTTATCGAAGGCTTTATCCATCATATTTGAATAGTGATGTGAAAATGGCTTTTCTGTAAATGCAATCTATTTGCTCAGTAATATCATCCACAACAAACGATTTCCGGAAAAAGATTAATTCACACCGGTTTACAATAAGTATTCAAAACTATAACAAAATACCATCGCCACAAACACAAATTTGTAGCATCAGCCTTAGCTTGTACTATTACATGTTATTTACATTTAGTATACACCACACAAGTAAATAGTGCTTTTAGTTCCCCAGCGCTGATTGGTTTAAGCTCGGGTGATTAACCTGACAAATACTATCCACTACCGAGACATTAAAAACTTGAACTACGCCTTTTTTCTTTGATTACAGGGTTTCGAGGCGAGACGTTTGTGGCCGATCGGTCAACACCTCGAACTCCGGATCTGGAGTCCTTCAAGTCCTTCATTTCGTTCATTTCGTGACATTGTCAGCGTCAATACATTACGCGGCGCGCAAGATTTAAATTTTCCGAGCATTTAACAAAAGTAAAGTACTTTTGGCTTTTCTAGTTAATAAGCTTGTGTGGTATATACTAAAACAATTATTCACCTCAGTGTCGGTTGCTAGTGGTGGATATTTACCTCTACTTCGGCCAATAATTGTTAAAAAATTGAAGAAATCAGATTTGTTTTGCAGTAGCTTCCAGCTATGCTGTACTGAGTTTTAATAAGAACGAAACAGCTGTCTACAGCTGTAACCCCACTCTGCTGAGCACTATCGTATGAAATGTTGATGCCTCGAGAAGTTAAGTAATGATCCAGGTAAGGTGGATAGTAATTTTTTGTTATGCGGCAACGGTGCTTTTTGCCACATAGGAATGTTCTCATTTTTACACAGAGAATGCATAAACCTACATGAAGGCCGTTTACTCAATAAAATGCACTTACACTCCACTTTGAAAGGGTTTTTTTTGTGTTAAAAAAGATTTTGACCAATCACAAGAGTTGAAAACAATAGCCAAGAAAAGTTTACAATTTTACATGTTCCCCACATAGGATTTCTTTGTTATTCAAACTGAGACCAGATTTTGTTATATGGAAGATGTTTGGAAAGTAAGGATGAATATATGTACCGCTTTATGAAGTTTTGTTAACTTTTGCTGTTTAAGCCAATCAGACGTAAATACAGACAATAGAAAAGTTAACACCTTTTTGCATTCCAACATGTTCGTTGCCGTTGTTGCTATCGTTCTTATCTGGACCGTTTCTTAATTTTCTACGTAGCAACATCATTGTTTCTTTTGTTTGTTATGATGCAAGGAAAGCAGCATGAGTATTCTGATCAATTCCTTAAACTATTTAGCATAATACATTACATAAAAACTTTGTTTTCTTTTTTTTCCACACGATTTTCTTTCCATAATGTACTTGCACCAAATCCTAACTTGACGTAGAAGATATTCATTTGGCACGTATGAGTTTGCTCAAGCGAAGAGGGTTTGATCAATGAGGTGATTCCAATGCAGCATATCATTATTTGTCGTTCATTTCGGGTTAGGTGAACACATTCTGCAAAATACATGTATATGAAAGAGTAAGAAAAGTCTATTTTTCCACGGACGTAGAAAAACTGCCACAAGTTATAACACATCAATAGACAAAAGTATAATGGCAATTGCTAGAAGTCAAAAGCACTATATGTGCTTGAAAAACAAGAATAATAACGAAGCAATTAATTAAGGTACTGAATTTAGGATAAATTAGAAAAAATAAAACGAGAATTAACGTAGCATTCAGGGAACAAGTGAGACGCTGAGTTTATAACCCTTTAAGCTCCAAGAGAGATCAGAATCAAATTTCTCCTTGTAATATCACCGCTTTGGTACACAGAGTGGTACCGAGAATTAATGGGTCGATGAATTTGATTGAAATTTTGATAACTTCTCCCTTCTAGTTCTATTGAAAATGTATAGGGGGAGCAAATGAAAATTTTAATTTTAACATTTGGGTAAAAAGGTATAAAAAAAACAAAAACATTTACTCACAGTTTTAGCAGTCAGCCATGTTGAATGGTTTCTTCTCATCTTGGTGTTCTGAATGTTGTGAAGTTCAGTTTGATACTGTGACCAGCGCTTTTCCAGTCGCACTACTAGACAACTAGCATCTAGCATTATAAACATATAATCTGAAAAGGAAAAGGTTTATCACAGTTACACCTAATGTTAAGCAAGAGACCTCTTTTAGCATCATCTCCTTCCTACATCTGAAACGATGAGGGTCAACGATTCAATAAATATCGATACCACTGTTCGCAGAATGCAATCCCTACTAAAGTGTTTCTATCCCCTTATGACTTTTTAGGGCAGAGGTTATGTTGTTGGTGCTGGTGTATAGCCCCCACCCACTCCCCCCTCCCCGTTTCCTTTTTCAGGGGCTCATTTCCACCTAAGGTTTTCATCGGCAACTGAAGATGACGTATTTCTGACCTCCTTTTTATGGAAGACTTGTTTTATAACTATTACGGGAAGAGTTTTTGCACCGTTGCACCTAAGGTCAAGCTAGAGAGCCATTCTTTTAATACATAGTCCTATCAGTGCAGAAAAAAGAAACATTGGCCGTACAGTGAAACCCCGCCTAACGGACACCTCGGTAATACGGCCACTTTATTTATCCGCCTAGCGAGACGGTCATACAGTTTCTTGTTAAAAACTCTTGTTACTACGACCAATTTGTTTTGGCCCATTGGTGACCGTATTAACGGGGTTCCACTGCACTTGACAACCTAGTGATAAAAGTCTTAGAAAGGATTATAGAGTAAGTGCGCGGCGGCCATTTGAAGGAGTAAAACAATTAAACGCTTTTTCTTTGGGAAAAAATTTTCACTTTTATGCAAATAATTTTTGGTGTTTACTCCTCCAACATGGTGGCCTCGCACAGACTCTATACACTTCTGTCTGACTTACTTATGTCAGTGGCAATTTAACAGTTCAAGGTACTCATTGATAAACAAAGCGAAGAAAATATACCTTTTGAGTTACAGCTTTTCGTTAAAGATGTTTTCTTGAAACAATTTAGGTTTCTGCGAAACTGCCCACCTACCCCTCCCTAACCCAAATGAGACGCAAATGTTAACGTTGTGTTAGGGGAGGAGTAGGAGGACAGTTTCCCAGAAACCTAAATACATCCGTTGTATGACCCAATACTTATTTTTTTATCTCGATTAGTACCTGTTCTGTATCAGGGGCTGTATCCGTGCATCAATAGTGCTGTTACTTTTGTATGATAACAGGTTAGTGGTTTCTTTTTTTCAGTATTTGTTGAGCGTAGGAAAATTTTCCAGAGGGAAGGAAAAAGGTACCGCCGTCTGAAAACAAACAAAAATTTCTACTTTTTGCAAATGCTTTTAACAGACAAATTGGGTTCTTTTAGCTCCGTATATCAATAATTAAAGTCAAGTGCAGAGTAAAGATTGTTGTTTAGCTCTGTCTGCAGTGCCTCTCAATTCAGAGTGCAACCACGCGGAAATCGACTCGACCGGCCTCATGATCACTAATGTGTCGCGAGCGGGGAAAACTATAGCATTTACTTAGTCAAAGGTAAGAATATGATCCAAAGTATTATATACTCTTTATAAAGGAAAGAGCACAAACAAACGGTATTTTAGCTTATATTCTAGTTAGAGGCTGAGAATAATTGTGTATGTGCGTACAAGAGTGGTGTTGGCCCGTCTATACCTTTAAAAACTGTCGTAAACTATTAGCGAACACGTCTCTCTTTCTGAGGGGAGGAGGCGGCTATACACAGGCTGACGCAGATTACAAGGACGAATTAGGCAAGACGCTCAAACTATAAAACAAGGGGTGCCACAGGGTTCTGTTTTAGGACCTTTTCTGTTCCTGCTTTCCACTACGGCAATCGAGATCTACTGTTGATATTTTCGCAGACGATGCAACATTAACAGCTACTGCGCGCTTTTCGGATATTTAATCTCTGACCCAGTACCTAAATAAGACCCTTTGCAAAAACGTTTCGGTCTCACTCTTGACTAGAATACGGCTTACGACTCAAATATTAACGAACTTTGCAAAAAGAAATATCTAAACACCTAGCTCTCCCTAAGAACGCGATTCCCTAGGTACAAAGGAAAGAAAGAGAAACTTATAACGAACTTATCAAACCTATTTTAATGTACTAGCCGGTGTATCGTTTGGGACAGCTGCTGAGCGGAATCCTGTCACATGATGACCACGGGGTTCTCAAGCTTCAATAACCTGAATTGGCTGCCTGTTACTGAAGCAGTCTTTTAATAAAACAAAGTCTTTAGTTTATAAAAGCTTCGATAGTATTTTAATACCCCGATTTACATAGATGATTTATTAATCAAGAATTCGGACATCCAAAGACATGCAGTACTCGTAATTTCGATCTAAATTTGGGAGGGCGAACCTTTAACCCATTCGCTCCTGGAGATTTTGCCGAAAAACGCGTTTTGAAGCTAGTCGAGTGCTTTTCTGGTCATTGTTGTGCTATAAAGGGCTAAAACTTACCACAAACCGGTTTACAGGTCGTACACTTGGCGGCCTTCTGATCCACATGCAAAGCATCAGCTTGCGAAGTTCGGGCATGCGCAGAAAGCAAAATTTCGGGTTTAAAAGTGACACAGCAGTCTTGACTTTTACTTTTCGCTTTTTCTCCTCTCTTCTTTGTTCGCTTTTCTTGCCTCATTTTTTTTCTCTTGCTGGGCATTTAGTAGGCTTCATTTTGGTGGGAAGAGTTTTTAGGAAAGCTTTTAGGATCTTAGGATTAGGTGAAAGGAAAGGTAGGTGGGCAATGGAACAAGATTTTCATGATGGAGATTTTCAGGTCAATGTCACGTGGTTTTTTGCTTCTTTCTCCGGTGTCCTTGACTGAATTGTGCTCATTCTGGTATGGTTTGAAAGATCTCTTCACTCTACACAAGTTAGCGAAGAAAGTTGTCCTTGACCGTTAAAACTGATGACGTCACAAAGGGTAGAAAGGACCTGGATCCGCACGGGCGGTTACGGGCGGTTCAGGGGCGAATGGGTTAAGGACAGAAAAAGTTACAAGGTTGATCACAAGTCATTATCTACAATTTCCTGTTCAAAAGTGAGCTGTAAATTATTGTGATCTGTAGTCAATGTTCTTCGGTGCATCTCCAGTGTCAAATCGGCAGCCATCTCGTTTCCTTTTAAATTTTCTTGGCTTCGCCTCACTTTCTTCCTTGCGAAACAACATTGATTCAAGGCTTGTTTAAACTCGGGAATTCGTAATGCGTATACGACAGGATTGATAAAGGAGTTGGAAAAATACATAAAAAAAGATACAAGGAAAATGTTGTCAGACATTTTGTATTCAAAAAAGTCTGCCAAGTTGTAAGCGACTGAAGGCAGCCAAGAACTCAAAGCCATAACAGAAACAAACATCAATGCCTTTGTTAAGCGCTGGTTTTGCAAGGCTCTGTTTTGCAACTGAGGAACAGTTTTTTGTTGAAATTTTCTCCAAATACCGATGTTCAGGCCGCAGATGATCAGAACAATAGACAAGCCGTACAAACATAGTCCAAAAAATAAACCCACTACGCTTACAAAGTGAAGGAGAAAAACTGTAAAAATAGAAGCAAGGATACTCAAAATCCACGGCGTCAAAATAACAAGCCTGTACGCTCGCGCAGAAAGTGTTCGGTGCTTCAGCGGCCAATAGATGGCGTAAAATCTCTCAGCAGATATCAAAGCAGCGGTAATAAACGAGACTTGGGCAAAACTACAATAATGATCTTGAGAAAAAACGGAGATCTTTCTATCGTCAATTGGTGGTGAGTCTCAATGATAAAAATAGATAAAGGGAGACACACACTTCCCAACGCTAGATCCGCAAACGCCATATTTAGAACAAGATATAAACTTTTCTTAACGCGAATCTTCTTGAAAAATGCAAAGATAACAATTGTCAGCAAGTTTCCCAAAGTAATGAAAGCAGCTTCCCAAGTAAGAGTACAACTCCAATCGATGACTTGTGCCTTAGAAAGGGCTTCTTCTGTTTGCAAAGGGGACACAACGTGTGAAACTGTAGTAGCTGATGTATTTTTCATTTTTTTTTTTTTTGCGGTTGTCGTTTTCACGTTACATCAACGTATAGTGTGGATTACCAGAAGGATATAAATGACATAACCTCAGAGTTGAATGTTCTTATCATGAAAATTTTGCTGATTTTTCGTCGACACCAAAATCCCTTGTTTTTGACTGCCAGCGCTTAAAATGGCCCAGTTTCCACATAATATAAAATTGGCTTATCTGTGCACACAGTCTATTTGTTTAGTTATGTCACCCGCAAAACACACCTGTTTCATCCACAGAGGGCTTACAAAAAGCTATAAAAAATTATCCACCATAAGAACTATAAAGAAAAACAACAGACCTGAAAGCTGTAACATTGGAGGAAACACATATAAGCCCTGGAATTTTTTAATAACACAGTTGAAATATACAGCAAAAGCAATTCAAGAGTGATGTCACGATAAGAGTTTCGATTCAAAGAAACTTATCGCCCACGAAGCAACCTTTTCATTTCAACCAAACCTTAAATGTAAGTTACGTCATGCAGTTTAAACATAAACAAAGCAGCAGGGAAACAAAAAGAGAGGTCACTTTTAAAAAACCTTCATATAAAAACAAACAAGAAACGCTTAATTTCTTCAACAAGTGTAAATACGGTATACTTTGGAAACTCTCTTACTATACTATGAAGTGGTAGAATGTTACATTAGAAGAAACAATGAAGTGGGGAAAAGCCGGGATCGTTTAAGAAAATTCTTATCAGCTGCAATATAAGAAAGCATTTAAGCCTGTTGGTTTTATATTTTGGCAGATAAGATCTCTTGCGCAACCTCTTCTTGCTAAACTGTACTGACGCGTTCTGACAAGAACGAAACAGCTGTCTACGGCAGCCATCTTGCCGCCTGAGTTCTATGCAAAGTTAATTTTCTTACTTAGCATCATTGCATCTTTGTTTTGTTATGTTGGATGGAACTAGTAGCAGGCGAAATCTGATCACTTCTGGAAACTACTGAAAAAATACCTAAAACTCTCTTTCCTTTCCTTTCTTCGGCCCAGTATATTGCCAGATGGGTATATTGGTAAGAAACTGAAGAATGAACAATGTACCATATTTCCATTAAATCCTTACTGGTGAAAATCACTACAATTCTTATTCAAAGCTGGCAAGTGTTGAAAGCTATTAATATTGCAGCAAATACAAATTTTTAACACAGTTGAGAAATACAGCAAGAGTAATCAATTCAAGCCATGAGGGAAACTTTTAATTTTAACCAAACTGCAGGGTAAGAAAAAGAGAGGTCACTTTTAGGAATGTTTCTTATATTGGTACAAAGAAAAAATAAACCTTATAACTTCAACAAATGTAAATACAGTTTGGAAACACCTTCATACTAAGAAAGTACAGAAAGTTAGCTCAGAAGTAACAATGAAATCAGAACGGGACCGCTAACGACAATTCGAATCATCTAGACTATATAGATGAATTGCTTTTATGCTTGTAATTTGTACATTTTACCAGCTTAGATCTCTGCAACATGCAGCGTCTGGCTACACTAAACGAGTTCAAATGAGAACAAAACAGCTAGCTGTGTACAGCTGCCACCCCGCTCAGCTGAGTTTTATCGTATGAAATATTGAAGCTCTACACAGGGCCCGCGCAGGAGGAGGGGCTGGGGGAGCCAGGCCCCCCCAACACTTTTTGAAAAATAAAGAAATAAAATTAAGTACATTGGAACCTCGATATAACGAAGGGCCAAGAGACTGGCAAAATATCCTCGTTATAACGAGGTTCGTTAACTTATATCAAGGTGTTTTTTTTTCATATTGCCTTATACTCTACTACTACTGGAGTTAAAAAAAGTAGTTCGTTAGACCGAGGACTTTGTTATTTAGAGGTTCCACTGTAATATACATTACGTGTTAATGATATATGAAATAAATCATATATGAACTGCGGAAATGAAATGAAAATGAAGAAATGATCGTCGCAGTGAACGCAATTTATGCAATTGCGTAAAGAAGCCTGAAAAAAATTCAGGACTTCAACAGGGTTTGAACCCGTGACCTCGCGATTACCGGTGCGATGCTCTACCAACTGAGCTATAAAGCCCATGGGAGCTATGGGAGCTATGGGAGCACGTCAATTGTGGGGCAGTGACTTCACAGCTCAGTTGGTAGAGCATCGCACCGGTAATCACGAGGTCACGAGTTCAAACCCCGTTGAAGTCCTGAATTTTTTTTCAGGCTTCTTTATGCAATTGCATAAATTGCGTTCACTGCGACGATCATTTCTTCATTTTCATTTTTCGTAATATACATTACGTTCATATAAATAGTATGCTTGTTGGAGTAAGAATCTTCCAGCGTCTATATTTATCATTGTCCGTTTCGATCCCAGATCTGCTGCGTAGTAAGCTTCAAAACGCCTATCTTTACGAAACTGCACTTAGTCCTAGATTTCTGCGTTTTCAAACAGCAAGGCTGTAGCAGACTGCTGGCAACGATGCGGAATGGAGTCTTTTTTATTAAGGTTCTCGATTAAATCTGAAGACTACTCCACGGAACTACGGTTTCTTAAAACGAATTATATCGGCTGATGATGTGGTTTCTGACGCATTTCGATGATATACTAGACAAAATGAAGGGGTTACAGGAACGTACAGTGTAATATCATGATCTGCAAACTTCTACTGGTGGATCCTGGGTGTGTAATCAGGCTCAGCAGGAGAAAGGTACTTATCAGCGGCTTGAAATTTATAAACATGACTCTGCTCGACAATGACTCAAAAAGGTTCAGCAATTTGACAGTTCTAAACAGCCACAAAGAGAGAACAGCCAAATTTGCCCCTCCCTGTCTCGCCCCAATTCAAAAGAGGTGGTCACCGGCCCCCGCACTTTAAGAGCCATTGTCTGTAATTTTCGAAAATCGGTTGACAGTCGTGAATTTTTTGAATTTTTTCATATTTTGCCCAAATAATCTCTGTAGTACATTTATTTCAAAAGTCACATCAAAACTTGTAACGGCTTTTTAGTTTTTCATTAATCGGGAAAACAGTTTGAAAAACGCTAGATCGGCGCTCTTTTCGAGCATGAAATTAGCGAAAATTAAGTATTCTCTTCGCGCTCGTACATAAAAAAAGGGATAAAATATCTCTGACTGAAATCAACTCACAAAACAAAGACAGACATGTAATTTATAATTCAGCAATTATATTTAGATAAGCTGTTTAAATGTGAATGTGTCGGCTGCAAGAAAAACACGGCTTCGGCTGTTTTTCAAAGTGTCAAATTTGACCTAACTTCACCATCGTAAAACCCAGTTGAATTTCAATATGAAACCAGAACTGTATTGAAGCATATCCTTTGGTGTTTTTTGTGTTAAAATATTCCTGGCGGCATTCCAAACGCGTCCCAGGAAAGCGTGCAGCCCCCAGTAGGGCCTTGGCAGCGACCAACTCTTCGGCTGCACTGAAAGCTGTTGATGCTGGGTGCAATGTGATTGGAAGTGGTGCTACTCATGTGCTGACGTCACAATTTTTTGAGAGTTATGATAAAGCATTCCAAGTGCTTCATGCGGAAGAACTGCAATATCTCAACAGGGGTGAAGAGAATTTTTCCGGAGCTGAATTGTAAAGGACTGTATCTAAATTCTTTAAAGAATTAAAAAATCGTTGTCTTGTGTTCACGTCCTGAACAAAACGTTAAATTGGGCAGGTTCACCTCGTGGTTGTGCAATGACAGCAAACAAATGTACAAAAAAGTGTGCTACACGAACAAAGTTGTTGTTTTGCTAATCTAAATTAAACTTTTACTTTTTTGCCGTTCTCGTTCAACTGAACGAGAACTGGAGCAGTGTTTACATTAGTTTAAACAGTACCCAGGTTCGGGAATATCAAACTGGGAGCGCTGGACGACGCGCTGGACCGAGAAAAAACTACTTAGCTATCTTCTATTTTAGCTATCTTGTTTTCAGCTGACATTGCTACAGTTCCCTTCCATGTTGCACATATTTTTGATGACCCTGAGGATGTGTGTTGGGCATGGGGAAAATTGTTATCCGACGCCCTAGACGTGCATGTTCCAGAGTCGTTCCAGTCAAGAGATCCATATCTAAGCGTCAACATGTGCCATTCATGAAACCAGAATTACTTGGCTCCATTCGTCACCGTAACAAGCTAAAGAAAAACTATATGGGGACTGGGAGAAATACAGACTTCAGCGTCATCTTACTTCATCCGGCCAAGAGCAGACAGTACCAAAGGTGATCCAAAACAATTCTGGCATACACATAAGTTCTTTATGCATTGTAAACGAAGTAACAATGAATTGGGACCTATCACCTTAAGGAGAATGGCGTACTTGTGACTGATCGACAAGAGGAAAGTGGCTGAGATCGATCTTCAACAACTATTTTCTCTTACAGTATTCAAAATGTAGAAGAACATGACAAAGCGATTCTACTGCTGCTGTGGACATTAGTGTTCACCCAAGCATTGCTGCTACAAGAGAA